AAATATGCAACTGAACAACTGCAGTCTGGCACACCTCATTAATCACTATATACTGTATAATGGCATAGGTGTTCTCCCGTGATGAATAAAGTTGAATCATCATTGTGACAGAAAATATCTGGACATACCATGTATTCCTTTATAAGGTCCTCAACACGTTCTCCCAGGTAGATGATGAGGGCTTTGAGGATACACTCCCTTCTGAAATCTGCATCAGCACCCTTTAGGGACAATCAAAATGGTTATTATGCGATGTGTACACTAGTCTAGCAACTTAATTCCCAGCTCTACCATAAACAGTGCTTTTACAGTGTGTGCCTGGTCAATACTGAATCCATGGCAGACAAATTGAAAGCAGTGAAAATGTAAAGCCATTCTAGTACATCTGCCAGAGGTCACTAGTAGTCCCTCTTTACATATGAAGACAGACTGGATGGCTCCTGTTTGGGTTCCTATAGTGACAGGTGCAGTGACAGGTGCAGAAATTATTTTCTATGTGCTACTATACATTAATGTACTCATAGGTGGCACATGTTTTTCTGTTTTTAAATGGTTGATAGTGAATATGGTGCAAAACTTGGCACACAATAACAATGCCATGTACATCAATTGCACATCATCTGCACATCCTCTTCATGTAGAAGGATTGAGGGCTGTCGTTAGTGGCTAATTATATACTGCACATCATACCTGGTCAAGAAACTCAAGGATCGTGGCAGTTTTTGCTTTAGTGATCCCTCCTTTCTTTCTGAAGATCTTCAGCAGCTGCGGGGAGTGCTTGTCCAGGTGCGCCATAAATCAGGTCAGGAGGGGAACAGCAGTAACGCGCAGAAACTCTGCATCAACCTGCAACACAAGAAAACATTGCGAAATACACTTAAAATTTAAGAATAATGTGAAATAAAGAAAATAACAAAAACAAAACATTTTCTCATCTATGGGCTTAAGTATACAAAAAGTTGTAAAAAGTGTACCTCTTCCATCTGAAATAAAGCTGGCCATCTTTCCATGAGGTTCTCGATGGTTGGCTTCTGATCCACAATCTCTTGCCTCCTGAACTGAAAAGTCCTGGCCATCTTCTCCCGTATGGTTCTCTCAGTGGTTAGCTCTATTTCTTCATTCAAGTCATAGTCAGATGGATTGGAAATGAGTGACGTGACAACTATTCCACTTTTAAAGTCATTAATGGTGCATGACTGATGTTTTCTCCATTTATGGCTCCGGAAACTGCTGTATATGTTGGTTTTGTATGAGCAACCATCAA